GCTACGCTCAAGGAAACACCAACAGAACGATCAGATGTCAGTAAAACTTATTTAATAAAGCAGCGACACAGTTCACTTAACCAACAGCAAGTTATAACAATGACTCGTTCACGTTGAACTCTTGCCGCTGCCATTTTTGGGGTCGAAATATTACCGTAATGATGCATACACAAGGCGCATCGGATTTTAAGGCGCGCTGTGAGCTTCTAAGAAAATGGAAGGCTTTTAGGCGCGCCTTTTAGTGCGGAAAATACGGGACATTCTGTTTATACATCGGTGACAGTAAAATTTGCACCTCCCCGCCATTTTTCGCTTCCATTTGGTCTTGCCAACCTCCCCAAGAATTCTTAATCCTGCCCCAAGTCCTCACCACGACCTCCTGATGCCGCCCATCGGTGAACCTGGCCCACGAGTTGTTGAACTACGCAGAGCGTTGCCGGTAAATGGCAAGCGTTTGCATTCCGCATGGACGGGTTTTGATGTCGGGGCACGAGTACAGTGGCGCCGGTAATAAGATTTCATGCTCGGTGGCGGAGCCGTGGGCTTTCGCGTCCCCCGGGAATCTCCCGGGGCGAGCAAAAAGGAACATTTGGAAAACATATTGAAATGTAATGAATAAAAAAAGAAACCCACAAAAAAAAAAAAAAAAAAATCGTGCCAGGGAAACGCTTTCCACCCCTGAAACATCCAGTGCAGTTCCGGCTAATGGAGATGTGTGGGAACATGTTTTGGTAAGATTGATAGGCAGATGGGAAAACAAGGCAGTGCATCATAACAGCAGAAAGTTTCACAATCATACCCGACCTTGACGACACACATTCAACTTTTTTTTACTGCCTCTCCTCCATCACGCACGCTGTCTCTCTCTCTCTGCCGCTTCCTCTGCATGACACCTACATTCATCTGTCTCGCAGCGGAAAAAAAAAAAGTCCAAGCGCTTTTTTTTTTTTCCTCGTGCCTGTTGTGTTGCCTCTTGACTCATTCTCCTCCTCCGTGCACCCCACCCTGTGTCCTGTGTGTCTTGTCTTCTCTCCCATCAGTTCAATATTACGGAGTTCACCGAGCATGTGAGTAAGCCTCATGTGTGCTGCTGGGTTTGCCGTTTTTTTTTTGGTTTTTTTAACAGGGTCCCAATCCGCAGTTTGGGGTATTGTTTGTGTGTTTGGGTTGAATGTGTGATTGTGTGCGTGCCGTGCCTTAAATGCATTTGATTTGTGTTCTCACTTCACGCGTCACAAACACAGCAAGAGACGTTCACCCATACGACTTAGTCTGGGCCTTTGAGGAAATTGGGGAAAATGAGGTCTTCACGGTAGGAAAATATGAAATAGCATCCCCCAAAATAACACATCTTGTTTGAACAAAAGCAGAGTAGTCAAAAGTTTGACCGATTGACGACTAGTTTGCTGCTCAAAACGGAACCTAAATAGATGCGATTATTTCTGTACACTTCAGCCTCAAATTATTCATCTTTTCTGCCTCGCTGGGCAGCCATTCAAAATCGAAACGAAAAGGTAAATTGGTGTATTGCTGTACGATTCAGAATATACACTTACAGTTCAGCCCCAAATTCCTCATACACGTCTCCAGTTGATTCAGGCCCAACGAGTCTGCGCTCTGTGTCATTTTTCATGACAGACCATTTGAGCAGCAAACTAGTTGGGCCTGAACCGTTTACGGTACGTGTTAATATTGACGCCGATGTTCCGTCGGCTTCCATTTCAGCGCCGCCAGCCCACGCTGACTGCGAACTAGATGGGCCCGATAAGCTCCGCCTCTGTTCTGTCGCTCGCCGTCAGATAGTTAACTCATTACACTTCCATTGATTCCTAAGACGACGCGGCGATGACATCCAAAAATCTCATGAATAAAAGCGTCGGATGGATTTAGCGCCGTCAGATTGGATTTATCACGGCCGCCATTGGCAAGCCCCTCCTTGTCGTCTATATTTATTGCAAGTTCAGCCTTCAAGATGCTCGCTGATGACTTGGGCGCCTGTCGAATTACCAAAGGCGGCCATTTCACGTGACGTTCAGCGTGGACGCTTTTCCCGTCGTCGGAAGACATCACTTAAAAGCGAACCTGTTGTCCTTCCGCACGTTTTATCATCTCCGAGAGGAGCAGCGGCCTTTCATGTCGACGACAGCTCGCCGTTCCGCGCTGCCGTCACACGCTGGCCTTTCGTGCCGTGTTCTCACCTCGTCTTCATCAGCGCGCTTGAGCGTAAGCGCGATATGCTGCTTCTTGGAGAATTCAAAGGAGCCGTCAGAGAAGTTGTTTTGGAAGACAGAAGGAATTCGTTCTGCACGGGACGTGTTCAAAGCGCTTTTGCAACGGTCGTCTCGCCCGTGATGCGGAGATGCAATTGAGGCCGCGGTCAACGATAACGTTTGCGTGCCATTGGACTGCGCAGGCAAAATTCATTCATCCACGTTACTTCACAATTCAGTTCATGAACGGAAAATATTACGTTTGGTGTTTGGAATAATGTACTGGATGTCGTTTGTTCTTGATCATGTTTAAGTATAAGATAATCAAATAGAACTTGAATGTACATTGTTTGTTGTTCAGTTCTTCCTTCTACCACACGATTTTCTCGACCCGCATTCGGTCCCGAATGAGAAAAAATAAAAATAAAAGTGTCAGTCGAGCTAATTCGACGTTGGCGGAGAAAAATGTCCGTGCGTGTGAGACTGTTCAAGCCATTACGTATGAAGAGAATAATGGTATTTTTATTCCAAAGTAAAGTTACAAACGTTTTTATGATGATATCCTGTGCCGATAGTCGTTGATAGTGCCATCTCTGTAATGACATGCATATGACGCCAAATCTGCCATCAAGTGGTGGCCAGTCAAAGCTGTTCTTTCTTTTTTTTTTAAGCTCTGATAATATACTCCAAAGGGTCCTAATAATAAGACATATTTCTATCAGACATGCATATGACGCCAAATCTGCCATCAAGTGGTTGCCAGTCAAAGCTGTTCTTTCTTTTTTTTAAGCTATGATAATATACTCCAAAGGGTCCTAATAATAATAAGACATATTTCTATCGCTGTAGATAAAGAGAGTACCGACATTTGTGTGCATACATATGGACCATATACCGTTTTTTAAAAAAAAAAATTAATTTGTAAGTGGTGAGTACTCGTGTGCTTATTTCTTTCATGCAATGTTCATGTGTGTGTGTGTGTGTGTGTGTGCTGTTCCACGCAAGCGTGTCCGTGTTCTTGTGTCCGCCCCAGTGTACTCCTCGATGGGAATCCACAGGTAGACCACCACCGGCGTTATTTTTTTAGACATCGTCAAAATGTCCAGATTTTCACTTTTTTTTTTCGGAGTGAAGAGCATTCTCCGACAATTCTCCAGTTATTCCGACCCCCCGTTTCTGTGCCACATTGACCAACACGAATGCCGCAAGGAGGTGTTGCACGATAGCTTGATGGTGTACTCACACTAAGTTATTTACGTGTATGCCGAGACTTAAATATCCAATCCTGTACTGCCTCTAACCAGTCAGGTAGCGCCCTGCTCGTGGCTCCGTTTATTTCTGTTGTGCGAGGTGACAATTATCGTCAATTGATTATGGAACACATACAGATTTTTTTTTTTTTTTTTTTTTAATCATTTGTCGGCAAATGTTCATTTCTATGATGCAAGATGGTGCTTAGCCTCTGGTGGTCTCCCGTGCGGCCGGCGTGAACACTGACACGCTGGTGATGTTCCCGCTCATCCGGTTGGTCGATGGGGTTTGGAGTGTGCCTTGCCATTGGGCGCGGGAGTTTTTCTTGGCCAAGAAAAGTTCCTGGTCCAGTTTGCGTGTGCCTTTTGGAAGATCCAAGTCTTGTTTTTTGAGGGGTGTTGTGAACAGATTTGACCAGGACACCCGGTGGATGCCGGAGGGTGTCGACTTGTTTTTTGTGGGTGCTCGTCTCAGAAGGCCTCTTTGTGTCGTCGTTTATAATTTGGGCCTTTGTAAATGTCGCCACGTCGCAGGAGGCCTTCATTACCGGACTTCAGTCTGAGACCACCTACTCCATCGTCGACTTGTTTTTTGTGGGTGCTCGTCTCAGAAGGCTCTTTTGTGTCGTCGTTTATAATTTGAGCCCTTTGTAAATGTCGCCACATCGCAGGAGGCCTTCATTACCGGACTGCAGTCTGAGACCACCTACTCCATTGCCGTGGCGGCGTACACCACCAGGGGAGACGGACCTCGTTGCAAACCGAAATTGGTCACCACCACCGGAGCAGGTGAACACAGTGTTCCTCCATTCGAGTATTGAACGTCTCTCGTGTTTTTGTTTGGTTTTAACAGTATAATTGTTGACCGAAATGCCCTTGCATGAATACATAACAAAACATAAGAGAGTGGAAAGAAATAAACTGCTTTTCCAAAGGGCATTGTTGGATGTGTGCTTCAAGGGGGCGTGGCCACGTGAGTTAGTCTGCGTGCGAGCGTCTGGGTTTGAGTCGTGGTCCACAGCAGCTCCTTCCAAGTCTTCTCATTTTGTATTAGTGCGTTTGACTCTTTGTCCTGTCAAATCTAGAGAGTTCATTTACCTTCGGTGCGCCATTTTTTTCTTTATATGCGTGAGCAAGACTGGAACGTTTCTGCGAATAAACCGGAGTATATACTCAAGTGCAGTTTGTCTTTGAGTGCAAATGAAAGCCGTTTTAGCCAAAGACGTGACAGTCTGTGATTGTGATTCCAGTGCCCGGCAAGCCCACCATGATGATCAGCGCCACCATGGGCAACACGGCGCTCATCCAGTGGCAGCCTCCCAAAGATATGGTGGGCGAGCTGATGGGATATCTGCTACAGTACAAGCGCGCCGACGACGACGCGTACACGTCGCGTGAACTGCGCAACACCGATGACCACTACACGGTGACGGGACTGCACAAGGGCGCCACCTACGTCTTCCGCCTCAGTGCCCGTAACCGCGCCGGCGTGGGCGAGGCCTACACCAAGGAGATCGGCACTCCTGAGGACGTGCCCTCGGGGTTCCCGTTGAACCTGCAGGTGACGGGCCTGACTCAGTCCAGCACGCAGCTGACGTGGGACCCGCCGCTGCTGGCCGAGAGAAACGGCAAGATCGCCTACTACGTGGGGGGTCAACGCGGCATC